GGGTCTCTAAACTCCACCCCTAAACCCAGTAGGGGCTTTCTTTTGCATATGCAAGAACTCAGTGAAAGCTGTACAATTCCTTTCAGGGCCTTCTTGGTTTTTAGAAGAGGCGCTTCTTCCTCCCCTTCTCTCCTGGGTATGGGGAGAGGGGAGTGCTCTTCTCGGAGTAACATTACCTCGCCTCCCCTCTCACCAATCCTATGATGTAGGCCCATATTCAAGATGAAGAGACTCTGCCCAGAGAGGTTCAATCACTTACCCAAGGCCACACAGCCAGTAGGCAGAGGGCTGACTGCAGAGCCTAGCCCTGCCCAGCCCTTCCACAGGAATGCCTGCAGCCTTCCCTGACTCCTCCCTGCTTTCTGTTCCCACAGCATCATATGGGGGGGGGGGGGCCCACCCTGCGGTGCTGACTCCGAGTCTGTTCTCACTGCAGTCCTGGTTTCCCCTCGGGACTGCTCCTTCCCAGGAGGCTGGGGATGGATGACATGTTTTGTTGGTGAGAGTTCCTAGGGGCTTATATGTGACCAACTCCAGACAGCCCAAGAGCTGTCTCTGAGGAGGGCCCATGTGCTGTCTGTGGACAGTAAGACCAGACGACGGTCTCACTGTCCACTGAGTTACAGCCGCCTGGGCTGGGCTGGCACCCCAATCTGCCTCACGGAAACTTTTCTATGAATGCATCAAGCACAGGTTGCCCAGTTTAAGGGGTTGGTATTTCCGAGAGATGCCAAAAGCTTGGGTCGGTTAGTGGAAAGAAACAAGGGGCCCCTCTTGTCCTTTGTGCTAGGCAGACATAAGAGAAGGCGTTGGCTTATTTTTTTTTAATTCGTCTTTGTGAGTGCGACTGAGACACAATGTTCCATTAGTTTCTGGCGTGCACCATTGTGATGCCACAAGTTTATAGATCACAGCGCTGCTCATCTCCAGTGTGGCTCCCATCTGGGAAGCCGTTTATTGTGTGATCTTTGTGTCGGGTCAGCCAGCAGTCCTGCATGGTCTCCCAGGCTCCCGGCCCGCTCGCTTGGACTGTGGCAGCAGTCACCTGGCTGGTTTCCCTGACCGCAGGCTCACCTTCTCCAGCCTCTCCTCCAGATCCCGGCACTCCCTAGTCTCCCCTGGGTCCCAGCTCCCATGACAGAAAAGCGTAATGTTCTTGCCCCACAATGCCCCGGCCATGCAGGGGGTCGCACTCTGACCAGTCCCACCCCAGACCTTTGCTTGTGCCTGGGAGATCCTGTCCTTCCTGGCTCACATGCTCCCCGGCACCCCAGAAAGTACCCCCAGTGCTTTCCCCCCACCTTCTCTTTCTTGGACAGGACTCACTCTTCTAAGTGGCTGTTGTAAGGTTTGAAGGAAAGAAGGTGAATGTTCCTCAGGTGTCATGAGTGTGGTGAATTTAAGCAGGGGAGATGAAGCAGGAGATTGGAGCCTCCAGGCCCGGAGAAGCCAACAGCAGGTGGGACCCGCTGAGCCCCCAAGGACAGGGCCTCCTTCCTTGCTAGAAGCATCAGGGCCCCTGAGAAGTGAAATTCAAGCTCTGCTGACAAGAAGGGACTTTTTAAAAAAAAAAGAGAGAGACAGAGGCCCAAGATGGGAAGGCAGTGTCACATAGGCAGAAGGTCCTGGGCTGGCAGGCGGGAGGCCAGCCTCGGAGTCCCCCCACCTTCCTGAGCCTCCATTTCCTCACATAGAAAATGCAGACAGTTACACCCATCTTGTGAGCGTCATAGGATTGTCAGGAGAGTTAAAGGAGATTCTGGATGCCAGGGAGGCTTTGGTGAGCAGGATCAGGTCATTGTCATGACTGAAATTTGCTGAGCATTCACTGTGTGCCAGGCACTCAGTGTATCACCCGTTCAGTCTTTACAGTGATCACATGTAGTGCGATCTCTTAATTGCTCCTACTTTACTGAGGAGGACACTGAGGCACGGAGAGGCTGAATGATCCGCCCAAGGTCACAGAGTTAGGAAGAGGCAGACTCGGGAATTAAATCCAGGCAGTCTGGTTCCAGAGACCTTGCTCCCAGCCTCTGTGCCAAACTGACTGAGGACTGCTGGGCTCAGTGGTGGCCTGTGGGCTCGAACCTAGGCAGTCTGCTGCTTCCTGGCCACCTCTGAGGTCAGGCTAGGCCAGGTCTCTAGACAGGCAGCCTCCTCGGTATTTGAGGACTGGCTTCCCCACATCTCATGTGCAAGGACTCCCTACACTAGCTTTCTCTGTGGCACTTCAGATAATCAGCATCCCAGAGTGTCCAGCAGGCCCCCCGGGTCAGCCTCACGCCCCAAGGTGCTGAAGCTCCCCTTACCCTGAATGCTCGCTCTCCCAGGGCATCTCATGGAACAGGCTGGCTGAGAGTGCCCACAAAGCCCCTACTCAGCACACCAGGCGGGGGGAGGGGGGGTGGGTGTTCCTGGGGATTCTCATCTTCCACCAAGGAGCAGGGTGGTGTTGTGAGTGGGACCCACCAGTGGATCATATAAACTGGGTTGAATCCTGGCAGGCAGCAGGTGCTCAATACCCCCCTGGCTCTCAGTACTAAGAGCAGAAGTAGTGGCAGCCATCGTCTGTGTCCCTGGGTCACTGAGGTGTACCTGGTCGTTCATTCAACAGAAGTTCTCAGTGCCTGCTAGCTGCCAGGCCCTGTCCTAGACCCTGGGATGGAGACATGAGTCTGACAGGACTCCCTGCCCCCGTGGAGCTTCCGTCGTACTGGAGGACGCAGAATTAACAAGATAAGCACAAAAAACAGAGATGTTGGGTCGTGATCAGTTCTATGGAAAAAAATAAAGCAGGAAAGGATGGGGTGGAAGGGGTTTCCATTTAAATTCGGTGGTCTGGAGATGGAATTGGAGCAAAGCCTAGAAGGAGGTGAGGAAGAGAGCCAGGCACATGTATGTGCAGGAGCATCGTGTATCAGGGAGAGGCAGGCGAGCTACCGGCCATCCACGAACACCAACCATCTGTTGCGGACAGGGCATTACAGGGGGAGCGCGGGGCTGGGGGCAGGGGGCGCACAGGCGCAGAGAGGAATCGGACCCAGACCCGCAGGGCAGACACTCCCACGTCACAGGGGACTCCCATGTAGGTGCTGTGGGGTGCTGCGGGAAACGGAGGGCACCTGAAGCGGGGGCTTCCCAGAGAAAGAGGTATCAGAGATCCAGCTTGGGGACTGGGTGGTAGTGGAAGGTGTAGGGTGGATAACACAGACACGGTTAACTCCAGCTGAATGGACCCAAGACCTGCACTTCCGGGGGCTGGAGATCAAGGAGGCTTCCTGGAAGAGGTGGCCTTGGAGCTGAGCCTGGCAGACAAGCATGATGTTGCTAGACGGAGGAGCAGAGATGGCCTTTGCCAGCACAGCCTTGGGGCCCTGGGTCCAGGCACAGCGCTGTCAGGAAGTACCTCTGATGGGGCAGCCCGGAGCCCTGAGGGGAGGGCAGCTGTCCCCCTGCCCCAGGCTGCGCCGTCTCTCTGATCCCCCTCCCTGCCCCCTAGGAGGAGGAGGCACTGATGGATATGCGGAGGCTGGGCGGCTTCGGCCCAGCACTGTCACCACACTCTCCCTCCCTCCACCGGAACCTGACACTCTGACCACTGAGGCATAAAAAACAGAGAATTGGAAGGCTCAGCCTGTCAGGCTAGGAGTGGCCCCCAGAGAGGCCTGAGGAGGAGCACGTGTGTGTGTGTGTGTGTGTGTGTGCCCGCACACGCTCTGCCTATGGTTGGCTGTAGAAATGGGGAGGAGGCCAGCTGGGCCCAGGGGGTGGGAGCAGCTGGCCCCTCAGGCCTCCTTTATTGTTCCTGCCCTACCTGGTGGAGCCCCAGGGACCCTACATCTGGGCCCGGATGCTGGGGCAAGAGCAGTGCTCCAGGTCCTGCCTTCTGGTTGGTCCTTCTGGAGGCTCCTACCCTTTGGCACCCTTGAGAAGAACCCATGGATGCACGTCGGGGCTGCGGGTGGTCTCCTGGGGCTGCCAGGGAGGGGCCCACCTGCTCTGTAACCAGGGGCCTACAGAGCCACTCACCAGCCAGCTACCAACACAGCCGGGCTCCGGCCCAAACCAGGTGCTCTGGGAATCCCAGCCACAGGGAGGCGACAGGCAGGGTCCTTCCTGCTGCAGAGCCAAGGCGGCAAGGCTTGAGGGCAGGAATTCTGAACTCCTTTCCTGTGACTGACTGGTGGTAAACAGGCCCTCCTGGGGCTGAAGAAAGAGCACAGGGAAGTGCCAGACGCAAGAAGCAGGGCCCCATGAGCAGCTGGGCCAGAGTGAGTCGTCCTCAAGTCCTACTGTGCCCCCTTTCCCCAATGCCGCCCCTACCCCGGCCCAGCTCGTGGTTTCTGCCTGAGCATCCCCAGCAGCAAACAGCGGCCCCCCTCCCAATGCCTGGAAGGCCCCGACCTTCTGTGCTCTGCTGTGCTCCCCAGCCCTCTGGCCTCCCTTCATCTCAGCAAAGTGCCATCTGCCTTCTCCCGGCATGGACGTGAGCATCTGTCTCACCCTCCCCGTTAGACCCATGCTCCCAGGGCCCCAGGAGCAGCCCCCTCTGGAGTCACAACCCAGAAGGCCAGACCAGAGCCACTCAGGAAACACATGGGCAGTGGAACTGAAACCACGTTGGGGTACTGGAGTGCCTCAGTCAGGGCTGAGAGCCAGGCCGGCTGCCACTTTGAACGTGGATCAAGGTCATTTTGTGAGAGACCCTGGGCATCAGTTTTCTCACCTATAAAATGGTCCAATAACCCCAGGGAACACCTGGCACGTGGTAGTTTCATGGTATGCATGTTGGAGGCTGGGATTCACTCCCTCTGCTAAGAAAAATGTTACAGGGGGAAATACAAGGCCGGTGTTAGCCATCCACTTGATTAAGGACGTGGGCCAGGCTTGCCTTTATTGGGTATGAGAAGCACCTGCAGTTTATGAGGCAAACGCCACTGGCATTTTCCAAACCTGACCTGACATTTGGTTCCTGTTTCTCTCCCGCCCACCACATGCAGGGAGTGAGTTTTCTGGGAGCCCCTACAGCCACCCTCAGTATCCCTCGTACAACGACTCCTGGAGGTTCCCCAACCCGGGGCTGCTCGGTGAGTACTGGTGGAGGCCCTGTTGGGCCCCTGGGCCATCAGCTGCCCCATTAGAACCCCTCTTTGGGCCAGGGTCCCTTGACAGCCTGAGGTATAGTCCCTGAGTGGGGGTGGGTAGCTTGCCTCAGGTACCTGCCATCCGGGAGTTGTGATGGGAGCCTCGGACAGGAAACACCACTCCAGCTCCGCTCGAGCCCTCGTCCCTCCCCCAGATGTTTTGGTGGATAAGGGAAAATGGCAGAGAAGGGAAACAGAGAAAAGGGGGCATTGAAGGAATAGGGGGAGCGTAGGAAAAGTGCCTTCCCGGGATTAACATATTTCTTAACAATCATTGAATCTTCCGGTGAGAAATCTCTAAGAGGCAGCAAGGAGGCAGCAAGTTGGCAAGAGCCAACTTGGATTGATTGGTAGCATCTACCTGTCTTGATAAGGACTCTGAGGCTTAGTGATTGATTAGTGATGCCTGCCATGGACATCAGCAGAGCTCCACTGGCAAGTTGATTGCTCTGTGCCTGAAGGCCTTCTGCATCCTTCCAGTCCCAGCTCAGCGGGCACCCAACATCTACCCAGGCCTCAGGCTGGCATATTATCCATTGTTGGGGCCAGCCTGATCTGTGTACATCATCAAAGATATTTGGGCCACTCCAAAGACCAAGCAGGGATAACTCGGCCCTTAAAAGGCCAAGGAGAACCTTTTGTTTTGTTGAAATGAACTGACATGAAAGCAGCTGGTGAGTGATAATGGGAGCTGAAGGTTCTGGAGCATGAGGCAGGGGCCCAGGGCTCACAGATGTCACTCACCACCTGGGGGCAGAGCTAGTCAATGAGCCTGCACACGGATGGCCCCAGCAGTAAGCTGAGGAATTCCTACACAGGTTGGGACAAGGCTCAGAGACCACCCAGGCTTGTCTGTCCAGCTTAACAAGGCCAGCTTAAGTAAGAGCCTATTAATTCCTGGATCTGGAATTTATTTTAGGACTGGGAAACAGACTTCACCAGAAAAGCAAGAACTTGGTCCCTTCAAACTCAAGTTGCCAGGTCATGGGTCTGTGATTAGGTGACTAAGGCAGACAACGTGTCTGACAGAGACACCATCCCTTCCTGGCTACCACCCTTCCATGCACTTGGGCCTCAAGCTGCCCCCAGCTGCCCCGAGCATTCTGGCGTGTCATGCAAAACTTGCGGGTACAATAAAGAATGATGCCAGTTAGTACTTCAGGTCCCTATGCCTGCAGATTTCATGTTATAGGAGACTAGGATCGTACTACCTGTGGCCTCCTGGATGGGCTGATCTGTGGACTTTTTTGGTTGTGGTAAAAATCAATTCTAAGTATTGGACCACATCTCCACTTACCTAATACTTTTCCTGAAACAGCCCCTCTGAGAGGCCCTGGTCTCTGAGGTGGCCCAGCTGTCAGCCCTAGGAGGCAAAGGCTAATCATAGTCTCCTTGAACCAGAGTCTTTCAGAGGGGTAGGGGCAGAGCGCTGGGTCTGGAGCCCAAGCAGGTGGCAAAGGGAGGGTGGGGCTAGGCGGCATCTGGGGCCTTTGCTGTTCAGCTGGAGTGAAGGCAGTTCACATCCCTGGGTGTTAGGCGTGGGCTGTGTGCCTGGTATGGAAAGATGTGGACTCTGTCTCAGAGAGCCTCCAGGCTGAGGGTGAGGGAGCCCCAGGCAAGGCTGTCCATGCTGGGAGGGTGCTCAATGCCTTGAGAGGAGACCAGAGCTGGTACAGAGGAACTCTGTCCATCTAAATGAGTATCTGCTCCTTGTGTGGGCGCTGGGCAAAACTCTTCATGTGGGCTACCTTACTTTATCAACAGCTATTATCTCCATTATACAGATGGAGACAGTGAGACTCAGGAAGGGTAATTAACTTACCTGAGGTCACACAGCATGCAGGTGGCAGAATGAGGACTCAAACTCAGATTGCCCCGACCCCAGAGTATGATGTGGTACTCTTACTCTCCCTGACCAATTAAGTCTGAACAGCCAGGAAAAGAGGCCTCATCCCTCCATAGAAGTCTTGAGGGGCCTGAATACTCAGACCATGTAATGTGTTGAGAACAGCTCTGATCAATTTTTGAAAGCCAGATTATTGTATTTATCTGCCAGACTTTCTGTTGCAAACCACAGAATCCACTCTGGCTGGCTGAAGCAGAAAACCACTTTATTAAGGGATATTACAGGCTTCCAGAATCTCCAGGAGGACCAAAGAGGCAGGTGTGGGACACACGGCTGGGAACATCACCCAGCCACACCACCAGGGCTGCCAGAGCCCTCCTGCTGTTACCAGTTGGCTCTCTGCTCTCTGCTGCCACTCTGGCCAGGGTGCGGGAGAGCTCGGCCTCGCCGCCCGCCTGAGCTGGGCGTCTCTGCCGTCCTAGCCCACCCACTTCCTCCTGCTGCCCCCTTCCCGATCCAAGTCGCATGCAAGAGGCTCTAACAGGCAGAGCCCAGGGGACACACTTGTGCCCTAGCAGCAAGTGGAATGGGAGAACGAGTTCATTCAAAGAGGCGGGCCTCCCACCACAGGACACCCTGCAAACACAGGAAAAGTCGAAAACAACGTTGGGTAGTTACAAACATGAGAAATGGCCCCTGCACTTCCCAAGTCTGTCACCTGGGGAATCATAGGTCATCCCCCAATCGGGGCCTCAGTTGCCTCAGGTGTAAGATGAGGATAATTGCCACCGGCAGCTTCGTTCAGGCAAGAGCTGAATATGACACTCTCCTGAGGCCCACAGCCCTGAATAAGCAGTGATCCCACTTTCTTGAAGATGAGTGAGATGCCAGGCTTACTCTGCCATAGTCTTGCAAATCAGTTCCAGGCCCATCATATCTACCAGACTGCCCTTTACCCAGAGTGTCTTCAGGCCGTTAACTAAAAGAATCCCACTGGACCAGAGAAGCAGACTGATTATTTCTGGGGAAGGTACCGGGGGGGGGGGGGGGGGGAGCTGCTCTGAGGCTCCTTGGTGCTCCTGCTAGATCAGTGGGAGCTGCAGAAACAGGTGAGACCCTACACACACACACACCCACACACCCACACTCTCTCTCTCTCTCTCTCCCCCCCTTCCCCCCGTGTGCTCACACGCAGTGCCCGCACCCCAGCCAGCCTGGCTGAAGTCCCCTTCGCAGAAACACCGCCCCGCCAGGCTGGGCAATGCTGCCCTAGTGAGGCTGCGCACTGACCGCTCAAGGAGGGCGCCCCTCCCGCCGAGCCTCCTGTGCCGGTGCGGCCTGTACGTTGTGCACACAAGGCCCAGCCAGGGCACAGCGAACAGGCTGGGAGGGCACAGAGGCAGGAGGGATGGGCAAGAAAGCAGTGGTCAATTAGGATTAGAAGGGGTGTGCCCGTGGCCACTCCAAGGGGAGGAGGCGTGAGCAGGAGCCTGGAATGACTGTGTCAAGAAGCAAATTGATGATACTGTGAATTGGGAAAAATGACAGAAGAAAAGGACAAGTTTATTCTAGATGGGGGTCTAATGGGCACCAGAGTGCTTTGTAAGGTGATGTGTTCATTTCTCATGGTAAATGCAAGCATTTTTGATTTTTCGGGACAGGCTGGCCAAGAGATTAGGCTTTGGAAGGGGAGTGAGTCAGAGCCGGGCGGGGGGTGGGGGGCAGGTGACAAGTGGCCTGTTGGGAACTCGGAGGACTGAGCCGGGATCCTCCCAGGAGCCTTACTTCTATTTGCTGCCCCTGGAGGCCCCTTGGTGAGGGCAGTCCCTGAGGCTTTCCCGCTCCTGTGCCATGCCCAGGCCTGCAGGGATGTCCCCACCACAGACACACACACATTCCTCTCTCCTGGGCTCATCTGAAGGCAGGATGCAGGGCTGGTACTGCACATTCTCTGTGGGTGACTGTCCTAATGCTGTCCCCATCCCAGAAGAAAGAGCAGAGGAGGCTGGCTGACCGGCATCTCTGAGTCAGGGCTCCAACTAGGAAGGTGACAGAGGAGGCAGCAGAGAAAGCCATCTCTGGGAAGACTTAGGCATGGGATTGGTGTCTCTGCCTTCTGGAACAGCATGGCGAGGCATCTCCCGCTCCTCCTCCATTGTCATTGCTGCCTGAGCCATACTCCCTCCTGGGGGGTGGGGGGATGGGAGGGGGCAAGGGAGGAAGTAGTGTGTCTGTTCATTGGGACTGGGTTTGGAGGGCCAGTGGCACGTGCTGAAGTGCCTCCCCCGTCCTGCCCTCTAGATTACATACTAGCTGTGTGATCTTGGGGAAGCTACTTAGTCTCTGTGCCTCAGCTTCCTCATCTGCTACATGGGGACGATACTAGTTCCTACCTGGTGGAATTGTTTTGGAAATGGAAAGCGTGACTAGCTGTAAGTGGCTTAGAAAACTGTCGATTTCCAAAGCACTTTCACATCCTTGTCTCATGGTGCCCTCATATGGCCCCATTGTGACCCCCTTTTACAGATGAGAAAACTGAGACTCAGAAGCCACTTGTTCAAGGTCACTCAGCCAAGAGTGAGAGAGTCCAGGCCTTGGTGCTCAGTTATGGTATCTGGGAGAATCACGAATGAGTCCACTCCCCCAGGGAATTAAGCAGCTCACTATTCCCACCCCAAGAGATGCATGGTCCAGTGGCTACCAGGGCCCCCACTGCTGTCCACCTGGATAAACACAGCCCCCCAGCGTTGGGTAGACTGCACTGTGGTGGGAAGAATCCTGAATGCAGGCCAGGTTCTGGCACTGAGAGGCCCTGTGGCTTTGGGCACTTGATGTTGGTTTGTTGAGCCTCGTTTCCTCACCTGTAAAAGGAGGCAATGGCCTAGCATCTCTAAGCTTTGTGGTTCTGAGAATCTGCTGGTTCCCTGAGCCCCCCAGACTCTTTCATCCCTGGGGAGGAGTTTTGGTGCAGCGTAGGCCTCCTGGAGGCCTCGTCCGAAGCAGGTAATCCCAGAATGAAGCCTTGAGACAGTGGGAGGAACCCAGCTTGGCTCTCACCCTGGCTCTGTCTGGAGGTCACAGGCCGCAGGGCTCCACCTTGCAATTTTCCCATGGTCTCCCATACCTCAGGCTCCCCATGTCTGTCTCTTCCTGTCCTTCAAACCCAGCCCAACCCACATCCTCCAGGAAACCTGACTCTGCCAGAATCATCTTGCATTCCCCCCCCAGAGCTCTTTTCTCAGAGCTCTAATCCCCCTGCTGACTCTCAACATTGGTCTGTGAGGTTTGTGATTATTGCCCCTTGCTGTCCCCAATAGGGCCAGAAAAGAAATGAGTGAATGGGCAGGGGTCTCCGCTATCGTTTGTTTACTCTGTGCTGCTGTGCATTTACTCATCCAGCCTGGCTGTGAGCACGTGCCACGTGCCGGGCGACAGCCTGGGGACTGACGACAGACACCGGGAAGAGCAGAGCCCAGCCCCCTCCTATGTGGGGCTCTCTGTCCAGGGGCGGGGTGGGGGGAAGAAGCAGTAAAAGAGGTGATTGGAGCCCCTGGTCCAGGCTGCAGAGGAGGGTGAGCTCAGGGCGGGGGGGCGGGGGGGGGGGGCTGCAGGAAGAAGCACAGAAAGAGGCAGAGAGGCACAAGAGGAGGATAAAGTGGGCTAACTCCCCTGCCCTGGAGGTTGAGATGAGACAACACGTGAAAGAGCGGTGCGAGGCCGAAGAAGTGCTTCTCCGCAGGTAGTTGCTATTAGCATGAGGGTATCCTTGAGACCTCTGCAGGGTCCGAGTTCACTGGAGTGTGGTGTGTGCGTGGTATGGTGGGGGAGCAGTGGGTCGGGGGCGGAAATCCCAAGAGGTGGGCAGAGCTAGGTCACGAAGTATCCACAGGGCAAACTAAGAAGTGATGGCTTTTCACCCTCTAGGTCAGAAGTCAGCAAACTCGTTCTGCCAAGGGCTGGATGGTAAATATTTGGGGCTGCGCAGGCAGCTGTAGTAGCGTGAGAGCACCCACAGACAGCACAGAATCAAGTGGGCAAGGCTGAGTTCCACTAAAACGTTATTGACTGAAACGGGCAGCAGGGAGGATTTCACCCGAGGGCCCCAGTCTGCCTACCCCAGCTCCAGGTGGGGAGGAGGCCTTGAAATCTTGTGAGCAGGAAGCCACCCTGATTAGGTTTGCAATTTGGGGAACAGACTGGAACAGAGATCTTGGTGGCCTGGGAGGAAGGGGAGGAGGAGGGGGACCCTGGTGGAAAGGGGACCCCCTGTATGGGGTGGCAGGCACAAGGTCCCCCTCGAACCGCCGTGCCCTCTTCTGTCTCTCCCAGGCTCCCCGTATTATTACAGCGCCGCGGCCCGAGGAGCTGCCCCTCCTGCAGCCGCCACTGCCTACGACCGTCACTGACCCTCGGAGCCAGGTGGGCGCCAAGCACTTGCAACACATATCACTGAGGGCGATAGCCTCTCAGCCCCTCCGAAGCCAGCCAGAGGGGCCCAATGAGACCATCCCCCAGCAATCCTCTCTCGCCTGAAACTCCCTCCCAACCTTTTCCTGCCAGGGAACTGGGGTTCTATGGTAAGGCTGTTGGACTTCTAGACACACGTCCATTTCTAAGAGTCCATCAGTGCGCTTCTCCCAACAGCAACTGGGTGTCTGCAAAGCCACAGACTATTCTGCAGACAACTGTAGCCCCAGCCTAGCCTGCCGGTCCCCAGCTGTCTGACCATCCACCTGTCTTCCTGCCCCAGGCCTGGGAAGGAGAGCTTGTTTTTGTCACTTCAACAGCACCCATGTAAATACCTTCTTGCTTTTCTGTGGGCGTGAGGGTCCAACTGAGCAGACTGCCCACCCATTATGCATCCAATATTCCCGATGTGTCACAGGACATCTTAGACCTGTGTGCAGAGCATCCCCTCTGTCTTGGCTGCCCCCCCCATAGGTGGGCTTGGAGTTGTCCTTGAGACTAAGGATGCTCACCTCAGGTCCCAGCCTCCTGCTCATTGCTACTTCTTTAACGTCTGGACTAGGAGTCTCATTGGGCTGGTTATGCTTCAAGCTTGCCCCCTGAGACCCCTCCTCAGGAGAAACACACTGGAGAGATGCCCTGGCTTCCTGGCTCCATTTTCCTGGGCCCTGTGCAGGGTGAGCAGCTCTTTTCCATGTCAAAGGACTCAAAGAGAACAAAGGACTGTCTGGGAGATTCCTCAGCTAGGATTCTAAAGATGCTGTCCAAGGTGCTGACTGCATTGTGGACTTTGAATGCTGGGGCTGGACAGGACTCAGAAGACCATAGTCCAAGGCAGGGACTCCCAAGCCCCTGGAACCACTGAACTGAACTGGGATGTGTTTTCTGAGGCGTGCCCAGGCTCATATCACATTGGACACCCACCATGGACATTTCTCCCACCCTCCAGGATGCCAGAAAGTGGATTCTGGGCAAGCCTGTTCCTGCCATGTAGACAATAATTAACAAAAAGGACATTCTTGCACTGAGGACCACAAACACCTAGAGCAGTCAGCCAGAACTTCCTGATCAGCCCCTCCCTATCCTCGTGGAGCCTAGTATGCAGCTGGAAATAGAGGTGCTGGGATGGGAGCAGATGCCTAACTTTGCACAGTGGGCATATACCTATTGATGCAAGGGGTTGTAATAGCCAGGGCCATGGCCAAGGGCCCCAGGAGCCTGGAGGGGAGCTTGGAGAACTCACTGGAGGCTGGAGTGGTCAGAAAAAAACCACCTGGGAGGATACGGGGGACAGAGGAAGGCCTTCTGGGAGAGAAGCAGGATAAGCAGTGAGGAACTGGTGTGTGAACTGGGAGTGGTTTTGAAATAGGGGTGCCAGGGGCCACCATCTCTTTGCCGGGGGCCTCAGTTCCTTCAGTAGTCTCTTTTGCCCACTCAGAACAGCAAGGCGGAGGCCCTGTCCCAATCTGGGCTGAATTACACTGATGACCATGGACTTTGCCATCTCGTGTGACAGACGTTTGCATCCCCAATGTTTGCATGTCACCAAGTTGGCAAAGAGCTGGGGCAGAGCAGAGCCTGGACTTGAGGTTATTGGGCCTGAGAGGTCTTGTCCTGGCCACACCGCTTCCTTGCTGTGGGACCTCAGACAAGACCTTCATGTCTCTGAGTCTCCGTTGCCTTGGTATAGCAGGGTCACCTGCAAGGTCATCCTCCAGCTCTCTCCTTGCCTTCCTCTTTCCCAGGATGGGGAACAGACTTGTAACTGGGTCATCTGGGGGCAGATCTTCTACTTCTGAGCAAGCCTATGGGATGGGTATCTATTTGGACCAAATGGGAAATAAGAACACCCAGAGGGATGGGAATAAGCCTTGAGGACAATCTAGTCCAGCCCGCCTCAGGGGAAACTGGGGCCCAGTTTGGGGAAACCTGGGACAATGCAGGGAAATAGACCTCCTCTGGCCACCACCAAGTGTTTTCTCCCCAACATCCTACAAGGTGGTGGGAGAGAAGAGGAAATGGGCTCAACACGGTGGAGTCCCCAGGCATTGACTGGCAGAGGTGGGCTGGGATTCAGCCTCCCAACCCCTGGCACAAGGTGATCCTTCCATCCCCGGGGAGGGAAGTTGACAGCGAGGGCAGTGAGAGATCGTTCTGGGCCCACTGCCACAGATGGAGTGTCCCGGGCTGTTAGAACTGACAAGGAAGCCCAGCCATCCAAGGCAGAAGTGGAGCCAGGGAACTCACTGCAGGTGCACCCACCACCTTGTAACCTGTTGGGCAAAGAAAGGAGGCAGCTGGGGGCAGAGCCCACCTCCAGGAACAGGATGAACCAGCTCCAGCCTCCACCTGCCAGGCAAGGTAGGAGAAGGTACAGGAGCTGGCCTCTCCTTTCCTCCTTCCCTGCTGCAGGAAGTGGTGGGCTCAGAGGTCTGCAGATCAGGCCTTTGGCCTCTTATACCCACACCTTTGGTCCTTGTCCCTCCTCGTGGTCTCAGGCTATTGGGAAGTCAGCTTTCCCTGAACCAACTGCCTAAAGCGCACACTGTCCTTCCTCATCAAAGCCCAGCTGGCCCCATTCTGTTCCTTCTCTTGCTGTGATGAGCTCCCTCCATGCCTTTCCTCTCTCCCCTGAGGCTCTGCTGGTCTTCAGATTGCATTTGTATTTATTAGACAACCCCTTGATTCCTGGGCTGCCAGGCAGAAGCACAAGAGCACATGGATGTACACATATGTTCTCACACAAGTACCTGCTCTCCCCAGCTCAGATTCCGCTCACTGCTGGTGGAACTGCCTATAAGCCAGGAGAGAAAGGTTCCAAAGGACACAAGCCGCTGAGTGAATGGCAGAGAATTCTGAACGGACAACACAAGGCCAGGGCTTTCACCAGCATTGTGGCTGGAGGCCTAGGGCACTCCACAGGCTTTCAGCCCTATGTTCTGGCTCTGACTTTTGGAAAGGACCTTGTGGATTTTATGAAAAAGTTTCATACCATTAGTCTAGCTCCAGCCTTGAAAAATCTGATGACATATCAAATCCAACCTCCCTTTCTCAAGGCGCCTTAGTTAGGGTTAGCCCTTTCATAACTCACATTTGTATGGTGCTTTGCAATCCTTGACCATTCCCTGAGGCAAAGATCACGATGCCCATTTTACAGATGGGAAAACTGAGATTTGGGGCTTGCATGGCAAGACAGAGGTGAGGTGAATTCTCAGATCTCTGGGCCCCATTCTCTCTCCACAGAATTGTGCTCTCATCATGGGAGCGTATGGCTTAGATATACCCTTCAATTCCCTAGAACCCCCTAGACCCACAAGGAAACAACAGGGACCCAGAGGCTGGCCTGACCAAATGGCCTAAGGCTTGGTGGCTTTGCTGGTCTGCCTTGATTCCCATTAACACCAAACCTGCAAAGTCTTTGCTCAGATTCATTCACATCAGTGCTTCTGAGGTTTCATTCATGCTTCTTCCCTGCTGGGTCCTGAGACTCCGAGGGGATCAGAGCACATCCAAGACTACACCATCAGCCGTGGCAGGGCCTGGATGTGGGCCTGCCTCTGACTCCGAGGGTCTAAGGTCCCGGGGTTTATGAGATGTCTTCTCACTGTGGCTTAGACTCCAGACTGGTCTGTGCCAACATGGAGGCATCCCCCAGCCAGGCCCCGGGGGCGGCCACAGGCCTGGGAAACACAGATCACAATCTCCAGGGCCCTGAACTGCTGCTTCCTGGGTCAGGCAGGTGATCTCGCCACTGAGGCAGGGCGTGAGGTGGCGAGGGCGGGGGGGGGACCCGAGACAACCAGAGGGCTGGCCCCATCCAGTGGCATTGAAATGTGAAAGCTTTTTAAATGCCCTTCCAGCCAAAAGAATATGTTTGTGGGCCACATCTGACCCACTGGCTCCTAGCTCATGACCCCCAATTTTTGTCCAGTGCTCCCTTTCTTCTTCACCTCCTTGCCCTTCATTGAAAATGGGAACCCAGAGAGATGGGAGATGAGCTTCAACTTGTTAGGCCAGTCACTGTCAGGGACAGGCATCCCCAGTCCTTACCCCCTCCCTCCTCACCCTGGGCTCTTGCGGACCGTTTGGGCTTTGATGGTGGGTGGGATAGAACAGCTGGTGGTGGGGGCGGAGGGACTGTTGGCTCTGAGAGGCCAGTACCGCTGAGGTTTTTTCATGTGTGCAGGGGAAGTGCCCCAGATGTGGCCACGGGGCACTGAGGGGTGAAATCCCTTTATGAGAAGTCATAGCCCAAAGGAACTGCCCTGCCTTTGGCAGCCTCTGGCACCAGCTTCCCACCCCCCCTTTCTGGATGACATTTCAGCTAGACTTTAGCTCCAAGCCATGGGGAGCAAATCTTAAAAACAAACCAAGCACTCCTAACAAATACCTAGAAACAAGATATGTCTGAGACACAGCTGCCCTGAGGGTAGAGAAAAATCCAGGTCCCTGCATAGGCCAGGCCCAGGCTGGAGAGGGTGCACCCCCACAGCACTCTGGACTAGACCAGCTCCTGGGTGACCCCGCTAAGAAGCTGGCTTTGCGGCCATGGCCCTGTCACCCAACGAGGAACCTGCCTCTGATGGCTTCCAGGCACGCACATCGATGCTCCTGGAGAATTCATTCCTTTAGTTCTTCTGGCCTCGGAGAGGTCCAAGGCAAGTGCATTTCTTAAAAGGTAACAAAACATTATTGGAAAGTTGGACAGTCAGGCCATGACTCCTAGCCTGCAGTCTGCCCCACCTCCCAGCAGCCCCTTCAGCCCCTTGTCCCCTGATGACCCCTTACCTCAGGATTCCCTCTTGCATATTCATGGTGGAGTCATCGTGGAGCCGCAGTGTTGATCCGCACTTCCCCACTGTCAGCTCGCGGCTGTGCTCCGGAGTGGCGGCCAGGTCCCGAGGGGCTGCCGCAGAGGACTGGAAGCAAGTCCCTGGCCTGCCTGCTCTCTTGAGGAAGGGTCTGCAGCTTCTTGGACATGGGCTGCTTGCCAGGAGCAGCCAGGCACCAGACTCTCTTTCCTTTGCTGTGATTTCTTGACACGGGGGTCCCGTTCCTGGACCACCCCCCATCCCAGAATCAAAGGAGACCTCAGGATCATGTCCCTGCCAATCTAGAGTTTCAGTCCATGTGTTCCCAGGGGTCCCCTTTAGCCCATGTCTGAGTTGGGGGTAAATGTAACCACCATGCAGTAAGTCTAGATATTCTCCTTCCCACGTCTTAGACCCCTAAGCGGCAGAAGGAGAAAATGCAGCTCTTTATCTATTTATTGAGGAAACCGTAATGAATTCTAAAAGGGAGTCGGTCTCAGGTAGTGTATTTGGCCTGTGGGCAGGACAAGGCGGGCAGGAATCCCACCTTTCAGCTTTAGACAGCTCTGAGCACGGCTGGGGAAGGAAGTGTGCGAACCAGCAGGGGGTGGGGCAGACTGGGAGTCAGGGGCCCCCTTGCCCGACTCTAAGGCCTGACTGGAGGAGGTCAAGCTGAGCCTCACCCACCCCAACCACAGGCCCACCCAACCGTGCAACTATGGCCACTGGGCCACCCTCATCCCCAAAATCACCACGCATAGGCCACGTCCCTCATCTTCTCTAAAAGCACCATTAAGAACAAGTGATTTTGGATGATGGATTTTTTATTTACAAACAGTGCATTTCCCTTGGAGTGGAACAGAAAGGAAACCACTTAATGGCTCCCTTATTTTCAAGCATGAATACATTTTAATGAAACTATTTTATTGTATTTGAGGAAATGGAGAGTTGAACATTCCAGCCAATCAATAGCCAATTAATTGCTATAAAGCTAAAAATAAATAAGTCCTGAGTCTTTTGGAAATGCCCTGCAAAACTCAGAGCCTCTGAATCGGG